CAAAAAACTACTTGTTGGGGGTCACCTTTTTCAAGTTTTTGTATAGCATTGAACAGATATTATAACTGCCCGAGTTGTTGGCGTAATACTGATCCTAAGGNGCCTAAAACGTTGTTCTAATTGATTATAATGACGTTTTGTTCCTTTATTAATTGTCTATTGATAGGTACCGCATAGTTGATAAAAAATAATTAAATATGTTTCAGATTGCTATTGCTTTTAATATCGGTATTTTTATTTATTGGCTTAAGAGGATTAAAACATTTTTTGTGATATTGAATGTTTTTAGCCAATAGAATAAAATAAAATTCAGCCATAATGAAGGCTGAAGTTAGGCATGTTGTGCGAATTAAGACCAAGTATGAATCAAAGGTTTATGACTGGAGATTACCCCAAAAGCTCGACAGCTTAATGTAGCAAACTGACTTAATGTGTTTGGTTAGCTCGTCTGTCTTTACCCATAAAATGACTCGTGAGATTTAAATTTTGGGGTGCATATCGTTTCAATTACTTAACGAGGGATAGGTCACATTGTTTTTAGGGTAGTTATGCTCAACCCCACTTTTATAAATTATGCAGTTTTAAGCATTTTGTAGTAATTATAATATTAGAAAATGGGAAATTGTCGCATGTCCTTCTCTCAGACGCAATATGAAGCATTATGATAATAGGTATAAGTAAATTTAGTAAACTTTTGGAAAAGCTGAGGATTACCTAACTTGTAGAAAGTCAGGTATTTTTATGAATTAAACAATTTAATTATAGGTATTAACTTTAATATTTATTTATTTTGATTTTGGTCCTGGATCTGGATGCCTCTGCGATAGAAGAGGCACCTCAGAGCAGGGTTTGTGGGAATGTTCTACGCAAGTTAATTTTGTGTTACAGTGATGCGCGCGCATCTTGAAATTTCACTCTCATCAGTTTTTCATAACGCGCCTAAAGAAGTATAACTTCAATAAATAACGTTTTCAAAGTAAGGGTAACACTGAAAAATGGATATATCATAAAGTAATTGATCAGATATGACCCAATTATTATCGCTGAGTGTTATCCGGTGGTGGTGCTTAGATGATGACAGCTCGTGTTTGTCCCTACCCCCTACCTCGTGACAATCTAATTATATTTGGAAAACACTACAAATGGCGCGGTAAACGCTATCTGTAGTACGATGCTAAGACAGCAGGTAAAAGTTGGTCTGTGTTCTGGCGGAGCTGTCTGCGACGCGCTGATGGTATCCATAAAGATCGAAATCGCGACCCGCGTCTGGCAGTTTCGACAGTATACAGACCACTTCGAATTATTTTATTTTATTTTATTAATTTACTTTTGTTGAAAATTAATAACAAAACTTGTTTTTTAATTGAAAACCTACAAGTCTAACAGGGTTTTTAATTAATATCAGATTTCGCCAGAATGTTACTAAATGACACCATATAAAATCTAAAAGAATTGANATTTTAATTCAAACGGGGTTCGTTTAGAATGAAATAGATTTATATAAATTATGTTTACTGATCGAAAACTCCACATCTAATGCTCCTACAGTCTGCAACGTACAGTTGTTGTTGCAGGCGTCTGCCCCTAATTAATGCACGAGTTTAGACCATCCCCCGCTTTAACGCAGAAAATGACCCATTAGCTTAAAAGATTACCTAAATATAAATTAATCTACTTAAACAGTTGATCACTATTACATGAATTGCCTTTACGAGTATCCTGGTTCGTATATCATTGATTTCACGAAGAAGGGAAGAACGAACTTGTCTGTACAAGCGATTTTCGTCTTCGACCTTAAATTAAATACACCGTAAAATTAATTGCTATTAAACGGTCGCAACTATCACACTAAATCGGTGTTGCATTTAATTTAACCGCGTGCAGGTAAGAGATTGTTTATACTGATAACAGACAATAGCTACATTCCGACCTAAGCATCCCCATGAGAAGCATTAGCTTCCGTGAAAGCGTCCGTACCAATTTATATCCAAGAGTTTGAATTAACAAGAAAGGAAGGTGTAGGTATATACCAAGTTTCCCGAACTCGGCAGGTGTACACCGCTCGCCTTTGAACGCTCTGTTTTATTATTACAACGCTCGAAGGGCTGGAAGGCGGACGGACGTGTATCTGCACAATACACAAACCGGGTTGGATATTTTACAATTACGTCAGTTTTCTTGTTAGTACATAAAAGGGTTTTTCTCGTAGGCAAAGCTTCATTAATTGTAAACAAAAGATGTACTAAATACGACATCTTTAAGTTACCATTTTCTTTCGGTACCTTTTGGATGCAAGCAAGTCGTATTTATGATATTCCTTCAAGACAGATATCCCGATTATTTTTGTTTTTATGAAAGGATGACCTACATCATTTTGGTCTCGAATACTCGTGTTTATGACAGCATGAAAGTTTATAGGCGATTGTTTTCGAAATAAGAAGAGTGAATGGAATCAATAATAAGTTTAAATCTTGGAAGAGAGTGGAATTCACAAACAGGCAGTTATTCTGTAAATATATTTTATTCTATGGATCTGTACATGCTGCGTTATTCCAAAGACACTCAGTTTTTGAAGTTGAATTTAGAGAAGATTTAGAATTAGAATTTACGGGGGTAGTATACAACGTGGAGTGGAAGGTATGACCACTGCGACATCGATTCCATTCCGGCTCGCGTACTTCGCAGATGAGTTACATGAGTTATTCGGTTAAAAATAATCACGTCATATTATAGAGATAAGGATAATTTTGCGAGTAACGTGTGCTATACCTACCGTTTTAGCTTTATGCACTGATGTAAAACATCATCATCATAAGGTCGTCAGTTAAAGACTGGTTGGACACGCACCTCCACTCCTTTATATTCTGAGCTAATCTTCGCATTTCCCCAAAACCAGAACAACCCACATCCTTAACTATTTGTTAGCAGTAATCTAATCTAGGTCTACCTCTATTCTTCTTAACTCCTGCCTCTGCCTCTAATATATGTCTCTGACCAGACCTTCACGCTTGAGAAGATGTCTTACCATCTATCTCGCCTATTTCTCATTGACTTCCATAGAGTCTACTGTTTTCCTATTCTTTCTTATACCTTTTCATTTTTAATCTTCTCTATCCACGGTATCCTCATTATTCGCCTATAACATCATATTTCGAATGCTTCTAATCTTTTCTTTTCCGCCGCACCCACTGTCCATGTTTCGCATCCGTACCTTGCCGCGCTCCAAACATACACCTTTAAGAATCTTTTTCGAATTTCTAAATTAACCGTTCGCGAGCATAGAAGTCTTCTTTTTATTGAAGGCGACTCCACTCTGCACTATCCTCTGCTGTATATCTCTATTACTTTTTCCGTCCTGACTTACCTGACTTCCTAGATACCTAAAATCGGCCACTTTTTCATCTGCTATCTTTATATTCGCTCTTTCCCTACTTTTTCTTACCTTGCATATCAGTATTTTTGTTTTACTTTTATTTATTTTTATACAATACTGTTTTATCAATACCGCTTCCATTTTAATTAAAGCTATCTCTAACTCTTCCTTGTTAGATGCTAATACTGCTATATCAGCAGCAAATCTAAGCATACTAATCTTTTGCTCCTATATATCTATCCCTACAGTTGTACTGTCTTTAATGATGTTGACCGCGTCTTCGATGTGATGACAGTGTGCATATCTGGCAGCCTAATTTCCAACGTACTGTAGAATATGTTTTGTGTTTACAGAAAAATACGAGATTAGCGTTAACATTTGAGAAAGTGTAAAAGTAAATATGCTAACTGTAATAAAAATATATCAACACTACGTGGGAATGGGACCTCTACATTTCGCCGCCTAAAACGTTGTTCTAATTGATTATAATGACGTTTTGTTCCTTTATTAATTGTCTATTGATAGGTACCGCATAGTTGATAAAAAATAATTAAATATGTTTCAGATTGCTATTGCTTTTAATATCGGTATTTTTATTTATTGGCTTAAGAGGATTAAAACATTTTTTGTGATATTGAATGTTTTTAGCCAATAGAATAAAATAAAATTCAGCCATAATGAAGGCTGAAGTTAGGCATGTTGTGCGAATTAAGACCAAGTATGAATCAAAGGTTTATGACTGGAGATTACCCCAAAAGCTCGACAGCTTAATGTAGCAAACTGACTTAATGTGTTTGGTTAGCTCGTCTGTCTTTACCCATAAAATGACTCGTGAGATTTAAATTTTGGGGTGCATATCGTTTCAATTACTTAACGAGGGATAGGTCACATTGTTTTTAGGGTAGTTATGCTCAACCCCACTTTTATAAATTATGCAGTTTTAAGCATTTTGTAGTAATTATAATATTAGAAAATGGGAAATTGTCGCATGTCCTTCTCTCAGACGCAATATGAAGCATTATGATAATAGGTATAAGTAAATTTAGTAAACTTTTGGAAAAGCTGAGGATTACCTAACTTGTAGAAAGTCAGGTATTTTTATGAATTAAACAATTTAATTATAGGTATTAACTTTAATATTTATTTATTTTGATTTTGGTCCTGGATCTGGATGCCTCTGCGATAGAAGAGGCACCTCAGAGCAGGGTTTGTGGGAATGTTCTACGCAAGTGGAATTGTTCAGGATTTGTAAATCAATCTGTAAGTTTTGTTCTAAGCTTTGCGTAGAACAGCCTTGTTGAAATTTTTAATAACGAATGTCTGAACATAGAAACAGTTATGAAAAACAATTTACACTCTGGATTTGCAAGTCATGTAATCTAAATGAAAATATAATTGTAACAACAGTTTTGAAATTATTTAGCTGTAAGATTAAGTTATGCTTGAAAAAAAAACATTTGTTACATATAAATAAATCGGTGTAAATTCCAAATTGTGTACATATTTTTAGATAATTATAAATAATCCACATTTGTTATTTATTATTATTGATGAGGATTTAATATGCTTCTTTTAATCGAATGGTACTGCCTAGTTTTTCTTATAATATTTTTTCTTTTGCTTTTAGGAATACTTTCCCGCGGAATGAAAGGCTTCTGCAATACCACGTTTTGTTTTATGGAACAGGTAAGGCTTCCTTTACCTTCTAATTTATTATTTCCGTATCATATATCAATTGAAATAAATGAATCTCAAGATACTGTCACACGAGCTGCTGTTTAAAGTTTATTCCATAATTTGTTCGTGACAGGTGGGGTACGATTTCACCCCGAATGTTTCGGTATCATTTGAAGCAAACTCCCATTTCAATTGTTAAACAAAAGGAAGAACGTGACTACAACACTTACTTTCGTTCGTGTTGACATTTTCTTTTGATGATCTTTTGCAAAAAAAGAAAGTTGACGCAGCACTGTGGGTGTTTGGTCATCGAAAGAGATAGGTAGATGTTATATCGGCTTTCTTTTCACTTTATATTGTACTATTTGTTAGTTATATGAAGATTGGCAATGGTTCGGTGGTTTAATTGTAGTAGTAATGAAAAATAGTAAAACTCCAATTGTACTTTATTGATCAGTAACAACAGAAAAACGTATTAACACAACGGGAGCTTCTTAGGAACTAACCTTTAAAATGTACAAAAGTCTCTGTAGCCTCCTTAGGGCCATAAAACCCAGATGTGGCCTAAAGTGACCTGGACAATACGAATACATATTTCTATAGAACTAAAACTCATCGTTGATTTCCAACACTATTTTTATAATATTTCTTAGTACTTTGGATGTTTGCGAAAAATTGCTCCAATTTTTTAGATTTTCTATAAATGGAGCGTTGTAACAAATTTTCTAGTATTTATTACATTTATTTAAGAGTATTTTTATTTTACGGTCGGTCCCTCCCTGAGGGTATACTCCAGAACAGTCTGGAATCAATGTATTGATTAACACGCATATAACAAGAGAGTAACTGCGCTTAACCGAGTATTACGTATTGCAATCATCAAGTTATTTGTTTTTCTTAATCAGAATTATTTACCTAATGAGGGTATTATTATATCAGTGGCTTATTACTCTTTTAGATTCGTAAATTATTATCACAATTACCTAACCTGGACAGGAAGACAAACTAGCGTATACGAACGTTTCATTCAAAGCTCTAGTACATACTCTTGGGTCATCCACCTCCACTAGGTCAAGTACATCGTTAGTGAAATCGCTCAATATGTACAGCGCTTTCAATAATAAGCATACTTGATTTTAGGGGAATTCACATTCTAAAAAAAATGATACATAATATGATAGAGCTAACTAATACACTTGTAGGTACGTTATTCTTTAAGATGAAAAGTTCATGTTGGCATATTTTTGATATGTCTATAATTAGGACGACCAAAAAATTGGCAAAATTCGCTATAAATTATTTGTATCTTCTTTCTTGTTTCCACTTGGGATTGTACTCATTTGCTGCGTTTTGAACACGTCTTTGTCAAGTTAGGAAATGATTCATCAGTAGTACAAACAAAGTGAAAAGAGATAATCGAATAATAGTAAGCGGTGCAGCGGTTAGAGGTTGCTTAGGTATGCAAAAAATCAGGGCCGGCTTTATAACTGCCTGGTTGGAATTATATCTTTAAACGAATGTCTTTGCTTTCTTAAATTCCTGAGAATGTTCAATTTTCTTTAAAGTTCGACGCTGGTGTAAGGAAAAGCATGTGTTTGATGGCTCTTCTAATTGGTTTAAAGAATTTAATTCTCTTAGAAAATACGGATATATACAAATAAATACCAAACTTAAACTACCGTAGAAACTTATGACGAATTAAAAAGCTAACTAAATAAAAAGAGATAAGATTGACTGAATAATTTGAATGTTTAAGACAGCGACTTTTGTAATGAATAATGAATGATGTTAATGTTGTGAAAAGCTTGTGATGACTTGGTTTGGTTACTGAAAATGCGAATATAAATACAATTGGGATACATAGATCGGACTCTTTTACTTATTTACTAATAATACAATGTAGGTATACATTGAACATAAATGAACTGGTCTATGTACAGATGTTGCCAGCAAGTCCACCTAGAAATTTGGAAATACCAGATGAAAGTTACAAAAGGGTTGTAAAATGACTCTAGTGGCCGAGCATGACTATGAATAACTTAAAAAATAATATTGACAAAATAAATGCAAATAGAAATAAATGGACTAAAATTATAAAAGTTTTATAATTGCTTCAATAACTATTCGTTTGTGAGAAAACGAACAGCTGGTAACATGCTCAAATTCTGCTTGTCTGCATCTCTTTCTGTTACAAATTAATTGATGTTTTGTTATTCCTTTTTTATGGTAACTGTCCACTGCAATTCCCTGTCGTGAGTAAAAGTAGGCGTTCTGTCAACAACCTCTCTAGTCTAGTTAGTAAGTTGAAAGAAGAAAGTAAATGCGATGGTTTTATTGCGGACTATGCCAATTTTGACCGTCCCAACTATATGTACATTACACATTAAACGCCTGTTCTTATATAACATCAACTTTTAGTAGTCTCGCAATTTTACCATCTGAAAATCAACGGTCTCAGACTTGGGATTGACCTAGGTCTTGTTTATTAGGTCTTGGTCTTCGTTTTGTTCAAAGACCTGGTCTTAGTCTTGGTCTTGGTCTTGCTTATATGGTCTCGATCTGGCTTTGCGTGTTAAGTCTTTGTTTTACTGATTTAATCTGATACCGTTTTTTTTAATAATTCTTCTAAGCACAATTTTTTCTATTCACCGACACAATAATTATCTTAAATGCTGAAATTTTCTGTCGACAACAAATTCGAATATATCATTTTGTTGTTTAAATTCCTGGAAAGTACCGTATTATAAACACTTCAAACCAATATTCGTATTGTAATTATCGGAGAGCATTGAAAGCAGTCCCGATATGAATCTCCATTCTCCAGCAGCTGGACCAATACTGCATGTTGCAAGACAATCAAAACTAGTTCCCAAACTCCATCGAATTGCTGCGGAATCTGTGTGAAAGGGGATTACTGTTCCTCGACAACCATTCTGGACCCTTCATCTCGTATTGTACACTCACTAACAACTACTGTAGTAGCAAAGTTAGCAGCGATGTCGTTTACCTGTAACTTTATAGTGTTCATTTCCACAGCGTACCTCTTGATAATTGTGTATTCAATAAGCTCTTCAGCTTGTAAACCTTGTTCAATAGCACCAGCCACATTAGCGTTAGGTAATATTCAATAAGTACCAGGTAATCGTTACGCTAATACCAGAACGTTGAAACTTCTCTCATGCATTTTCGGCGTTTATTGTAAAATATAATTCATTCAATTGAACACTTTTATTTGACAATCTTAAGTATATTTTAAATACTTTTCAACGAAAATATTTATTATTTGTATTCAAATTTGATTTGATTATGCAAATAATTTTTCAAATACTTGTGATAATTTTTTGAAGTGAAACTTCTTTACGCACGACAGGTTAAGTTCGTTTCATGCGAGTTGCTATGTAACGAAATCATGCAACGCATTTCCCCCGCTGTCTGTCCCTATCTATGCTTAGATCGTTAAAACTACGCAACGGATTTTAATGCGTTTTTTTAATAGATAGAGTAATTTAAGAGGAAGTTTTATATGTATAATACATGCATAATATAGTAGAGAAACACTGATAATTTTAGGGATTTGTAATGTGATGTCGTAAATAAACACATTTTTTTGCGGTTTTGCTGAACCCTACGAAATAGATCAAAATAATATACTACAGTATTGTACGCCTTAAAAAGGTCTACAAAAAAGTCTATCTCTTAGGGATAACCCACAATAACCATTTTTTATCCTTTACTTTTTACGAGAAATAATGACTTATTTACGAAGCGATATTAAGCAATACAGCATTAATCCTTATCCAATTTAGTACTTTTAAATACATTGTGCATTTAATATAGATCAATATGGCCCTTTACAGCATGTTATTTAAATGAATATTTTCGAAGATATTACAGATTTAAAATGCAGAGACATAGCGGTTGTGGCGGTACCGTCCGGTTTGTAGTATTGTCTAATGACAAAAAAGCTGTGATTGTTGTATATAGATATGCTATAGTATATTTACTATCAGCATTGCACCCGTGCGAAGTATAAGTAGTGTACAAATAATACCACTAAACCAATTCCTTAACCCATATTCCGGTATGTTTGTGTGTTTGAAGAAGTTTCACTTTAGTAGGGTGTTGTATAATTAATTACACGTTGTATTTTTTTTTTACCAGTAAACGATTTATAAACAGTCCTCAAGAAATATTTCTACAAAACTTTAGATCTATTGATTTAGGCTACATATTGTAAGTCAGTCAATCTCTTGAACATCACTAAGAAATGGAATATTAAAGAAATTGTTGCTAGTGTGCCCTTAGAGTATTCGATGAATAATTCCCTCCGGTTTAGGGTATGCGTTGTCTGTCGAGTCAATATTGTTTTATATGTATAAGATATTATGTGATATTTACAAAAAGAAGCCTTACCTTTTGCTTCCAAAAATTGAAGCAATTCCTTCAAGGTATATACATAAAAAAAAGCGAAGGAAAAGGTTTTGCTTAGAAGGTTTGCTTTAAAGTAAAAGGTTTTACATAATTTATATTTATAAAATGAAGCATCTGCACAAAAACTAAAGTATTTGCTTCTGAAAAAAGGAATCTAGGTTCACAATTTCTCGCTTTTTTCAACTTTTCAGTAGCTGCCCAGACATTACACAGTTTGTAACGTAATAATTTATGTATTTGTAGGACAGTTTTTGTGTTAAAATCTATCTAAAAGACTTGTATAAGTAATCTTTAGTTGTGTGGTCCCAGTGTTGTGCTTGTTATACTTATATGGTGCATTTACGTACAAGAAAGTACTACAAACCAAGACGTGCACCACGAGAATCAGATTCTAAACCGTTGTTTAGATTTGAGGAGGAGAATGTGTTGCGGTTGACGGACCCACTTTCTTGGCGCGTATCCCGAAATAGGTGGAGCAGTCGTGTCACTTGTGCAGAAAATTAAAATTTTTGGGTTATTGTATGAACCATTTTAGATTTGATAACATTCAACACTGCACAAGTAAATCGGGAATGTAT